ACCCGACAAAAGAGTAGGTTATGGCCCCTTACCCTAAAGCTCAAAATAGCCCAAAAGCTTTATATGGCATGGCCTTTGGGCCCAAAAGTCTTGAAATATGAGTCCTTAGAGCCTTAGGGTTAATTGGAGGGTATGACCCTTGAAACGGTAGGTTTTCGGATCCCGATAGATCCTAAACCCTCAACCCTTAACCCTTGAAGGAGCCCTTAAAAGGGAACCCTTATAGGACCCTAAAGGAGCCCTTAAAAAGGAACCCTTATAGATCCCTTAAAGGAGCCCTTAAAAGGGAACCCTTAATTATAGATCCCTTAAAAACGGTAGGTTTTCGGATCCGCAGGCTTGCGCCGTACCTCAAACCTTGACCCCGTAAGGGCCTGGGGTCGAGGGTTAGGGTTTAGGGATGTTTTTTTTTTTTTTTTTTTTTATGGTTTAGGGTTTTGGGGTTTAGGGTTTTATGGTTAAGGGTTTGGGGTTAAGGGGTTTATGGTTTTTATGGTTTGAGGGTTAAGGGTTTAGGGATGTTTATGGTTATGGGGTTTGGGGTTTGATGGTTAAGGGTTATAACCGACCTAAAAGGGATGTTTATGGTTAAGGGTTTAGGACTTTATGGCTTCATGGTTTAGGGTTTAGGGTTTATGGTTTTATGGTTAAGGGTTTAGTGCAAAATGGTTTTTATGGTGTAAGGGTTAAGGGGTTAGGGATTCGTGGTTTTAGGGTTAAGGGTTTAGGGTTTTATGGCTTCATGGTTACGGGTTGAGGGTTTAGGGTTTTATGGTTTTATGGTTAAGGGTTGAAGGGTTTAGGGCTTTATGGTTTTATGGTTAAGGGTTTAGTGTTTAGGGTTCTATGGTTTTATGGTTAAGGGTTTAGGGTTTTATGGTTTTATGGTTAAGAGTTATAACCGACCTAAAAGTGTCCCAGGTCATCCAGTTCTTTGCGTACGACTTCCTGAAGGCGTTGCACGTAAAGACCGCTGAGATTTCTGCGGTGGAGGCCACAGCCGAAAGTTGCCCCATCGCCAAGATATCCGTTCAAGGTTCTTGAGGGCAGTCTAAAACAAGAGGCTAGGACATGCGGTTCTTGCTTCCCATATTTTTGTCTGCTATGCATTCATAATGGTTCCATAGTTAGTTTTCCATGTTTTCCACTGTGTTCATTCTGTTTTTCAAGTTTTCACTTTTTCTCATAACTATTTTTGAACCCACAGTCTTTCATGCTCGAAACTCATCCCGAACCCACATGGGGGTTTCCGAAAACAGGGGACCCAAAACAACCCTAAATAGTAGGATCCTTAATCTAAGGACCCCCAAAATAAGGTGCCCCTAATTTTCTGAAACTCCCGCATATTTCAAAAGAAAAGCATTTAGCATACTGTGTCGTTCTGCGGCCCCATAATCATAAGTCTCACCCCAAGCAGAGGTCAGCACTCCTCATAAGCACAACGGTCACTACCACGACATACGGTTGATGACATAAATCCTGGACCAACCATAACAAGGAATAGACCCGGTCCTAAAGGTACTCTAGGATTTTTATCATCAATCGTAAAAGTGACTACGTTTTCTCCTCCAAGCCCTGAACACACGCTAAGCTTAAACGCCAAATTGCGCTGGAGTGTGCAACATGTCGATCACTCTGCAAGTCGGGCTGCTTAGTGGCAAGACCACGACCGTGGAAGCTCGGTTTTTTGAGGATGTTGAGACATTGAAAAATCGGGCGCAGACCACACTCGGAGTCGGAAGGGGGCGGCTTTTGGACTCGTCTGGGAGCGTTCTGGATGAGTCTACCCTCGTCAAGGACTCCAGTCTGCAGGATGGCGACGTACTGACCCTTCACATACAGCGAGTTCGGGTGTGCAGTACTGCTTTCGCTTTTGCTGCCATTCTTGGCGATGGATCCGTGATCACCTGGGGGGATCCTCGCTATGGTGGTTCTAGTCGTGCTGTGCAGGATCAGTTGAAGAATGTGCAACAGATCCGAGCCACCAACGGCGCCTTTGCTGCCATTCTTCACGACGGATCTGTGGTGACCTGGAGTGATCCTGCCGGTGGTGGTGACAGCAGCCGTGTGCAGGATCGACTGAAGAATGTCCAGCAGATCCACGGCTCCCTCGGCGCTTTTGCTGCCATTCTTGCCAACGGATGCGTCGTGACCTGGGGCGATGCTTTCCATGGTGGTGACAGTCGTGCTGTGAAGGATCAGTTGAAGAATGTGCAGCACATCCAAGCCACTAACACAGCTTTTGCTGCCGTTCTACATGTTGGAGCTGTCGTGACTTGGGGCAACCATAGAGGTGGCGGTGACAGCAGCAGTGTGCAGGGTCAGCTGAAGAATGTGCAGCAGATCCAAGCCTCTAGCGGCGCTTTTGCTGCCATTCTAGGCGATAAATCCGTCGTGACCTGGGGTGACCCGGCTGCTGGTGGTGACAGCAGCAGTGTTCAGGATCAGCTGAAGAATGTGCAGCAAATTCAAGCCTCTGCTGGCGCTTTTGCTGGGACGCTTGGCGATAAATCTGTGGTGACCTGGGGTGATCGCGCTGGTGGTGGTGACAGCAGCCGTGTGCAGGATCAACTGAAGAATGTGCAGCAGATCCAAGCCACTCACTTCGCTTTTGCTGCCATTCTAGGCGACGGATCCGTCGTGACCTGGGGCGATCGTGCGAATGGTGGTGACAGCAGCAGTGCGCAGCGTCCACTGATGAATGTGCAGCAGATCACAGCCTCTTCCGGCGCTTTTGCTGCCATTCTTGCCGACGGATCCGTCGTGACTTGGGGTAATGCTTTGGCTGGCGGTGACAGTCGTGCTGCTTAGTAGTTGAGTGGATACACTTTACACTTTTTGAGATAATATTACCCACCATAAAAGTGAGCGTGTACACTTTTGGGGGCTTTTGAACTCAGCAACTAAGGCTGTGCAGGATCAGCTCATTGATGTACAGGAGATCCAAGCCTCTCAATGCGCGTTTGCTGCCATTCTCGGCAATGGATCCATCGTGACCTGGCCTTTGCGGAAGTGATGCGAATGACGGTGACAGCAGCGCTCTTCAAGATCAGCTCGCCAACGTGTGGCAGATGCAATCCTCTCGCGCTGTTGTTGTTGAAAGTTGGTGCGATGGCTCTGTCATCACCTGGGGTGATGCTCTTTCTGGTGGTGCTTTAGAGGATCAGCTGCAGAAGGTCTCGCAAATCAGCCGATGTTCCTCAGTGTAAGCCATCACAAGCACACATGTGCTTGCAGCACTCCCGCAGCTTGGGTTTCAAAGGGCACTAAGGGCTTTTGTGATCCATGGTTTCGCTTCCGGAAGTAAGGGTTTAAGGGTTTACCGTTGACTAGGTTTTAGGCCCTAAACCCTAAACCCCTACACCCTAAACCCCTACACCCTAAACCCAACACCCTAAACCCCAACCCCTAAATCCTAAACCCGCAACCCCTAAACCCCTAACCCCTAAACCCTAAGGGCTTCGCTTCAGGGTTTAGGGTTTAGGGTTTAGGGTTCAAGGTTTAGGGTTTAGGGTTTAGGGTTTGTTTAACTAGTGATAACCCCTAAGCCCGAATCTTCGGGTCCTCCCTGGATGCAGGAGATGCTACACGGGCTCTTGAGGGGTGCGGTTTGAGTTCTCAACGTTTAAGGTAAAAGCCAGAAAGTTGGAATATGATTATCCTAAACCCGTTATGGTAAATTATACGGTATACTACCCTGAAACCATATTCCAACTTTCTGGAGCTTCCTTTAGGGGTTAGGGTTCCATAGGGGTTATGCTACGGTTTTCTACAAGTCCTAACCTGTGCCTCCGATTTTTGCTATCTAATGATTCACTAGGATGCCCAGTAGTACCCTTATTCCCTTTTTGTAGTCCTAGGTTCCTTCTAAAGTTACCCAAGAAAGAGAGGCCTTTTTATTCTTAGGTTAATGGGTATCCTAGTTATAGCCTGCAGCCAAGGGGTCGCAACCTTACACACTTTCGCCTGAACCCTGCAAAACTTTGCCATAGTTGGGTAACATTTTATTTTTTAGGGGTACTTAAACCCAATAAGGAATAACAAATTTGGTTTTTAATCCTATCCCAACCATGAACTAGAAAACGAGTCCACCCTGAACCCCTGAACCGTAAACCTAAAGCGTCACAGCTTGCCTTGTTGTTGTACCCGCCAAAGTCTGGAGCGTTAAACCCTAAAACTAAACACCTTAAAGCCTCTAATTAGTAGGCCCTACTAGATCCTCTGCAGAGCCTTATGGATCCCTCAACGAGGCCTTAAAGGATTAGGTGAAACCTTACACCCCTCTTAAACGTTGCTAGTGCTTGTTAAGCCCTAGACGAAGGGTGCATGTACCCAAATAGCATATACTTTAACCCCAATGGCATCAATGGTCCCAATGTTTCTGTCAGTGCCGCCAGGGGCACTGTTTGCCACCATGTTGATGTCTGCACCAGGGCATCCGCTTGATTTCTTGGTCTTTGCGATGCCGCGCGGTCGCGAATTGGGGGGCATCACCCTGCCGGCCTCCCGAGGATGGGTCAACCTACCGCCGGAGCGAGCCGCTGACGGTGCCATTGCGACTACAGAACGCGGGGGTGACCCCTCAAATCAAGAACCCTGCAGCAGCATCCGCACCGGGAGCCATGTGCAGCTACATCTGCTCAGAGCCGGGTCCAGGGCCCTGCAGCGGGGTTCACGAAGAGTACAGACCTGCAGGCACTTCGGCACGTTTTACGCATGTTTCAGTGGACTCGTCTTGCCTTTGCAAAAATACGGGTACGCCTGTTTTGCGTGACTTCTCCTGGAGAAAATGTCTGGCATCCCAGCTACCGCTTCAAATCCTCTCTCGAATCTGCTTACCTGGAAAACCTGGTTGCTGGGTTTCGTTGGCAACTAGCAACTTCCCTCGCAACTTCTTTAAAGTTGCCTAGTTTGGTTTTGGCTGCTTGCAGCTCAAACTGCTAAAGTTGCACAAAGCTCTGTCTCGAGACCATTCTTTTTCACTCCAGCGATGCACGACATCACCAGTTTCTCTGTACACACAGCATGTACTGCAGCAGCGTCGCTTCGCAAAACTTCTGTTGCGACACGGAGCGGCCCAACGTCGAGATTTTGTTGATGAAATCTTCGCACATCTGACATGAATCGCAGAGCGGGTTGAGGATTGGACCTTTCTGCTTCAGTTGCTCCTCCAGCGTCAGCACGATATGCTTGAAGAGGTGGTGCTTCGGAATCAAAAGATATCTCGTCATGGCACGGGCATAGGCCATGCTTGCCAGCCGCTTGTATGTATAAACAAACATGTTGCCATGCTTCACCACCTTCCTGGCAGCAGCACTCGGAAGCCACAGCTCGTTATGATATAAAATGGACAAGAACTTGTTCCCAGCTTGGCAGCACTGGAGCAGGCACTTCAGGTAGTCATCGGAGTCTGGCCCCAGGTTCGCTTGCAGGAACGAAGCCAGGAATTTCAGCACCACTGTCGTGTCGGCGCCCTTGAACCATGTCCTCGAGATCCATGCACGTATATGAGGTTCATGACATGCTAGAAAACCATGCATGCACCATGGTATATTTTAAATTCATGCATGAAAACACATGAGAAATAGGAACATGCAGGAGCTGAACTGTTGACCATGTTTTAGCCATGCACCAAGATACCCAGAGGGATAGGTATCGTTCTCTGGAAAACGCACCAGTGTGCGGGTGAGGCCGCTCATGTGCAGTGTCAGCTTCTCCGACTTCGCGAAGCTCTTGAGGTCCTCATACACCAGTCCCAGCCGATCTTCAAAGGACCCACGAGCTGGGTAAAGCCGCATGTGCAAGAGGGTCACCTTGCTGAGAAGCTTTCATGATGCATATGCGAACATGCAGAGGCAATTATATACTGCATGCATGCATGCATAAGATATACAAAGGATTTGCTTGGTTTGTTGTTAAGGACATGCAGACATGAGGCTCAAGGCTTAAGGGTTGTAGGAGGCAAAGCGCTAAGCAAAGATACAAACCCCAAAATACAAACCCAGATGCCAGGCCAGACCCTGCCAGCTCTGCCATCACTCCCTTGTGGCAGATATGAAAGAGATCCAGGCGATAAAACGCTGCTTGCTGCCACTCATCCAGACCAGGGCACAGCTGAGAAACCAATGCAGGCACAGCATCCCAGGGGGCTGTGAAAGCCTCGCTGTGCTGCATGGTCTCCTTCCAGCCATCGCCACTGTAGTCTGGGCAAGCGGCTGTATTCGCCATGCAAAGGTGGCAGATACCCTTCCCATGCGGCACGGCATCGCAATAGAAAGATCTCTTGATCTGGCCGAGTTTGACTAATGCCGGCCAATCGCACTTGATTCCAACTGGAATCAAGTGGACCCGGATAGTCTCTGGCCCGTGCTGTACGACCACGCCCTGCATGGCCTCTGCATGGTCCGACGCCCAGCAATCAACAAGTGACATCAAGTATTTATTGCCGGACTTCTTGGATCCATAGGTCTTCTTGTGCATAATGGTGTACAGCATCCGAGTCTTGTATGTGGAGCCATCGAAGTTGAGCTTGTGGCCATGATGCGATTCAGGGTCATCTGTGCAATGTGTCATGCACCCAAAGCCCAACATAGGCTCCCAGCCCAGCACCATAGCTGCTTGCTTCTTCAAGGCCCGGCCTTCATCTCCGAAGAGCAGGATCGGGACACTGCAGGCGCAGGCCTCAACCCCGTGTGCCAGTGCCGGGTGATCTGGTCTCAAATATTGAAATCGCTCCCAAAAGTCTCGGAGTGTGCTCTTCAGAGGCTCACCACCAGTCAGGTTCTCCAGCTTGTTGTTGGCTGCAAGCTCTCGCACATAGTCCACAGGGGAGATAACTTGATGATCCCGATCACCACAGAGTTTCTTTGTAGTAAGTGGCATAGATGCAGACAAAGCAGAATTGCGTAGAAGATCACGACATGCACTTGCATGACCCGTCTCATGAGCTTTGGCAAGTTTCTCAATAAGACGACCAGATTCAAGTTTCGATACAGCATTTTTTCCGAATGCTGCCCGAACCTCCTTAGCAAAAGCTGCCACGAGGCTCGTCGCGACCTCTTGACTCACCTGAGCATGAGCTTTATGCACACATGGCAAGTAACATGACACTTCATGCCATGATCATGTCTCTCATGTTCGTGTAGCAGGACATGCACATCATGTTTCATGTGCACCCGTTCATGCACGCATACATGCAGCCATGCAGTCGAAATTTTCATCCGAATACAACAATTGACACAAAGAAAAGTCGATCGACGCATAGCGTCCAAGCGACACCCTTTGTCACGGACAGAGCAACTGCCTCGCCCACTGGCCCAGGTGCAGCTTCTTCTGCGGCGCCTTGCCCAGTACCTGCAGAGCATGAAGGCGTGGGGCATCGGTGAGAATAACATGCATGGCAAAGATTGCACATGGAGGGCACATCGATTTTCGACCAGCACAAGGTAGCATCACGTATCCCGTGAAAGATTGGCAAGTTTGCATGAAGCTGGCCCTATGTCCACTGCTTGCACACTAGTGAAGGTCTCCCTATGTTACATCACACACCATCGTATTGCTCATGACGGGATAGTCCATCATATAGCTTTGCCACGGACTGGCCAGTATCATGCACACCTGCATGGCTTGAAAGTAGGATCAAACACTGCATCTAAAGGCCCTTATGTTCCCCAGGGCCCCAGCAGTGACACGCCCACCGTCACAACCATAACATGATGCCTCACTTGCGTGCCTTTTTGCCGCGACCTTTGGCCGCCGCCTTTGCTTTGGCTTTCTTTTTGGGCTTGGGCTGCTCCTCCTCCTTGGGGGGCGGGCCCACAAGGGCCTTCTTCTTGAGGATGGTCCTCGGCCACATGGCTCATGTACTACATGACATGTAGGGGTTCATTACTTTGTGGAGTTTGTTGACGTGACTTAATCATGGAGTCATGACATTGCAAACATGGGTAGGTAGCCTACATGCATGTGATGAACATGCTGTGTCACTACAAAAATTGCAACCCAGACACAGAACCCAGTAAACACGGGCATGGTGGGAATGCAAGCTCTACACATGCATGCAGTGAGCCACACATGGTAAGGTTCACTATTATTGAACGGTTGGAGTACGAGTGGAGGCTAAGCTATACACCCATGTAAGGTTAATGATATATATATATATATATATATATACTTATATATAATATGTATACATATATATATATATATATATATTATTATTATATTATATTATATTATAATTTATACATATAAATATATATATATATATATATATATTGTTTCAAGCCAATCATTCATCCCAGAAGCTTCTTCAGCTTCTCCCGCTCCATCTCACAGCGGCTGCACCTCGTAGCCACGGCAGGGCACACCGGGCAAATGCCAACATACAAGCCTAACTTATAGAAGTCTCATAATAGCCCCTGGGCCCCCAACACACTCTCCACTTTGCGGAGATGGCTTTCCAGATCGCGCTGCTTCCTTAGCGATGCAGAGGCAACTGTTTATACATGTAGAACACGGACCATGTCTGTGGCATGCGCTAACTCATGTCTGAGTGCACACCATGGCTCTCGGGGGACAGCTTCTTGTGTGCATCGAAGTCTGCCTTGAGATCGGCGATTTTATCATGTAGCTCGGTGAGCTCCTCGCTCTTCTTTGCAATCTTGTCGGACTCCCTTGCAGGTTTGGAAAGATCAGAGCACATATATTATGTAATGAGCACATGCTTGTGTTGTTGTCTGCATGCTAGTGATACAAACCAGCTCATGCATGCGTGCTAAGCTTGGCACTTCTGGGCATCCGGGGCTCCGGAGAGCTCAAGCTCCATGCGAAGCTTCAACATCTTGGACTGCGAAATCAGGATCTGGCCCAGCACATCTTTGCAATCCATGATGTCCTTAGGTAGTGCTCTCATGTGGATCCTAAATTTGCAAAACAAAAAGTATTGTAGATTGGCTTCCAAGAATAATAAGGAACATGCATGAGTGGATAACATGAGCACTACCTAAGTGCATGCTTATACCTGTTATTGCCTTCGACATGATGAATATTTATACAGTATTTGTTGATACATTATATATATGCACTTTGCAAAGGCACCCCATAGAATGTACGATATATATATACACACACGAAATCTTTTAGGGGTCGCAGCACGGAGAGCGGGCATATGTAAACATATATCCCTATATATTACATGAACACATAGACTTAATATCTATATATATATATATACACAAATAACATACAAAACCCCCTTCCCTTCTGTAGTAATATATGTACATTTCCTACATGTAATACATGAACTGTAAATCAAGCAAGCACGGGTCTTCGGTCGGTAGTTCCTCTCCAAAGCCTTCGTGTTTCGACTTGGGTCGCTTGGGCTGCCTGCGCTTCGCGTCGCTTGGCTCATACTCCTCCTCGGAATGCTCGGCCGACTCGTCATCCTTATCGGAGATGTCTGACCCGACCAGGTCCTCCAGCCCCAAGGGCAACTGATCGACCTCACCCTCCGCGAGCATGGTATCCTCTGTGTACTCTTCTTTTTCTGCATTCTGCTTCACACCCTCAACCTCTTCCTCGAATGCGAACTTCAGCTTTGTGAGATCTTTCGGCTCATACTTGTCCTTCCTATACATGGCATGTATACATGACAAGAACTGAGCATGCAAAGCCATGGCATGCTGCATAACATGTATCTGGAACATGACATGTAGCTGGCATGCTGGGGCCTGACATGAGTGGCCCGGTTCTCCTTCTTCATGCAGTACTTCTTGATTGCCTTGATCCGCTTCCTGAAACATGTTTGCATCTACAATTGGACCTAGAGCAGGGCATGCGCTTGAAAACAACCATCATGAGACGAGCAATACCACCATGAGAGCCAGGACATGAACATGGCACATGCATGTAGTTGCTGTCATGATAGAGTTGTTGTCATCGACTCTAGGTGCAGTCGAAACACTCGGGGAGCTTCTTCTCAGTTCTCAGCTGGTGCTCGGTGTAAAACTTCGTTCTTTCTGTGAGCTCAGCTTTGCGGCTGCGCGTGTACTGGTGGCTGATCTTCTTCTTGAAGGCTTCCTGAAGGCAGATTTGCAAATAGGTATAAAGTATAGACTATCGCCAGAAACCCCCATGCTCATGCAAAAAACCATGAGCTACTCTTCTCGATTGTTGTAGATGCCATGCATGCATGTCATGTCATGATCATGTCGCGGTCCGGCTTGCCCTTGCAGGAGATAAGCACTTTCAGCAAAGAGCGGCGCGAATTTCCACCCTGCTTCCATTTCGCATGAACCTCCTCTGGCACGTCCAGGCGACCGTTCGTCTTCCTCCTGCAGATCCTCATGAGAGTGGCGTCCAAGGCACTTTGGGTCATCGATCTCGAATTCGGCGAGAAAGCGAGCTTGATCTTCGGAACCTGCCAGCATGGCTGTCTGCTAGTCAACTAAAATATTATATGCGGAGTGAGAGTGCCCAGCCTTGTTCTTCCTGGGCGTACCAGACTCAACACTCTTGGCAGGCGACGCAAGAGGGTCGTCGGTGCCCTGGCCAATCACGTATTCATCCGTGTGCCAAGTGCGGCTACTACATACTACACCGTTACAAAAGTGTGTGTGCATACATATATATATATATGTATATATATATATATATATATAGAGTATATATGCCGTGTATATAATATATACAATATGTGCTAACACAGTTTCATACTTCGCTGAATATCATGCAAGGACAGCTATATACAGGTACCCAGAGATGTGCACACACCAGCAAGCAGATGTAACCACATGAAACAAAATCATATTTGTCTCTAAAGTTCTTGTCTGTATGTGCACAGATGCATGATAGGAGACATATATGTTCGTGTGCATTGATCTGAGGTATGCATAACTGTGTTTCGATTGCTATCTGCGAGCGGAACTGTTATATAGTTATGCTGTTATGCTTGGATCAAAATTAACTAACGGTTTAACATCTATCGTGCACACGGCACAAAGTCACATCTAACTGAGGCGACTCATAGCATGTGTGTGTGGTATATATATATATATATATATATATATGTATATTACTGAAGTCTGGAACTTGGTATATAGTGATATATACATTATATTATAGTATATAATTTAATAGTTATATATACATATATATATATGTAATATATATATATATACATATGTATGTATAGAAATCAAATCAGAAGCTATAGGTGATACTTGCCTTGTGTACGATAACCATTAGCAGTGAGAAACAAATGATGATACATGTATTCCCCCCCCCCCCCCCCCCCCCGGCCCCCCCACCACCACCAAATCGGACCACCCGGCCTCGAAGTCACTCTGCAAGCTTCGTGGCTTGAGTGGGCTTGGCTCGGCGTCCACACGTGGCCGCTTGGGAGTGCCGTGCGGCGGCAGCATGTCGCCGCTTCTCTTTGAAGGATCTCCCCGGGGGCTGGGCGGAGGCGGGGCACTCTGAGGCTTTGAAGGGCCAGCCGCGACATCGGCTGCTTGTGTCTTTGACGTGTCGCGGGGTGCTGCTGGGCTCGACTTTGCACGTCGCGCTGCTGACTTAGCCTGTGCAGGCTCGCTTGCTTCGGCAGACTCCTGGGGTTTTGCTGCTTTGCTGCTGGACTTCGCGGGTGGCGGTGCTGCTGCAGTCGAACTCGACTTTCTGGGTGTTGCTGGGCAGGACTTGGAACGGACTACTGCTTCGCTCGGCTTCACACACGGCGCTTTCGGGCTCGCTGCCTTCGGGCGTGGTGGGGTTGAGTTGCGGGTCTTTGCAGGGCTCGATGCTGGCAGATGTTGCATCGAAGGTTCAGGTGCAGCAGGTCCGGCAGGCAGTTCCTGTCGGGCAAGGAACAGCATGTATAGACC